CCTTCAGGAACGAGGGTACCGGAACGAGGGTACCGGGGGGTAACTGAGTGAAAGAAAATCCATGACAAGTCGTTCTATAAACACCGCGTCATATATATGTCAAACACTGAAAGCTGCCATTTTTATTGGCGAAAATAAGAGTGTAAATAATTTTAATTACAAAGTAATGAAGGTAAACAATTTGAAAGATGAAATATGACGTTACACTTCATCGTCGTAGTAGCTTCCTCCTGCTGGCTTGGGATCTAAATTAACGACGTCTTCAAATAGATCACTTGGTTCAGTCTCCAGCTCCACGGAAGGTACGCTGGCGGACGTGGCCACAATTTCAACAGCGGGGTCAGCAATCACTTCGCGGACTGTTTGATTCTCCTGTGTGTCACTACGGTTGCCAGCTTTTTTAGTTTTAAGTTCAACATACGGCGGATCAGTCAGAGCGGGCTCAGTATCTTGCATTCGCTGAGGTCTAATTATGTTCTTTACAATTTTCTTAATTAAAATATGTTCAGTGGGAACGTTTCCGTACTGAGAAGCGGGTGTTGGCTCCGAGGAAGTTGGCCGATAAGGGACAACTATCGATAACAAGGCCAGTTGCTCCTCTGATGTTATTTCCACAGGGTCAGCGGTTTGCGCTGGAGTGGATGACTGCTCTGAGACGGTGGTTGTCTTCGGTGTTGTTATTTGTTCTGAGGCAGATGTTGGCGCTCGAGTAGCCGGGTGCTCTGGTTCAGTGGTCTTATCTCGTGTTGTTTTTTGTCCAGATGCAGCGCTGGGCCCCTGAGTGGCTGACTGCTTTGAATCAGGTGTCGCCTGAGCTGTTGGTTTTTCAGGTGCAATGGTTTGCACTGATATAGCTGGATGCTCTGTTTCGGTGTTGTTCGGTGATGTTATTAGTTGTTTTGTTGTAGAGGCTTGTGCTAGAGTAGCTGGCTGCTCCGGTTGGTTGGTGTTCGGTGATGTTGTTAGTTGTGGCGCAGATGTTTGAGCTGGACTAGCTGGTTGCCCTCGTTCGGTCGTCTTCGGTGAGTTCGTTTGTTGTTCAGGTGCAAATGTTTGTGTTGAAGTAGCTGGCTGCTCTGATTCAGTGGCCTTTTGCGGTGTTAAAGGTTTTTCTGGTGCAGACGTTTGTGCTGGAGTAGCTGGCGGCTCGGGTTCGGTGATCTTTGATGATGTTAGTTGTTTTGGTGCGGGTGTTTGATGTGGAGTAGCTGGCTGCTCTGGTTCAGCTGTCTCTTGATGTGCTGTTTGTTTTTCAGGTGCAGCGGCTCGTGCTTGAGTAGCTGGCTGCCTTTGTTCAGTAGTCTCCGATGATGTTGTCAGTTGTTCAAATTCAGCAGTATGTTCTGAAGTAACTCGCTGCTCTGGTTCAGTTGTCTTCGGTAATGTTATTGGTCGCTCAGGTGCAGAGGTGTGTGCTGGAGTAGATGGCTGATTTGATTCACTGGTCTTCTGCAGTGTCAATGGGTGTTCTGGCGCAGAGGTTTGTGCTGGAGTAGTTGGCTGCTCTGATTGAGTGGTCTTCGGCAGTGTTGATGGTTGTTCTGGTGGAGTAGGTCGCGCTGGAGTAGCTGGCTGCTCCAGTTCGGTAAGCTTCGTTGATATTGTTTGTTCTTGTGCACGTGTTTGTGTTGGTGTGGATGGCTGCTCTGGTTGAGTCATCTCCTGTTGTGCGGTTTGTTGTTCAGGTGCAACGGTTTGTACGGGAGTAGCTGGCTGCTTTGGTTTATTGGTCTTCGTAGATGTTATAAGTTGTTCAGTTGCAGAGGTTTGTGTCGGAGCAGCTGCTTTCTCTGGTTCTTGTGTCTCTGCGGATGATGGTTGTTCAGATGCAGCCGTGTGTGCTGGAGTAACAGGTTGCTCTGGTTCAGCTGTCTTCAGTGATGTTATTAGTTGTTCGGGTGTAGAGGTTTGTAGTGAAGTAGCTGGAAGCTCTAATTGTGTGGACTTCGGTGATATTAGTTGTTCTGGTGCAGATGTTTGTGCTGGAGTAGCCGGCCGCTCCAGTTTGGTGGTCTCCTGTGTGCTCGTTGGTTGTTCAGGTGCAGCGGTTTGTGTTGGTGCAGCTGACTGCTCCGGTTCGGCGGTCTCCTTGGACGTTGTAGGTCGCTCAGAGGCCGATGTTTGCGCAGGAACTGCTGGTTGCTCTGATTCAGTTGTCTTCAAGGACGTTGACAGTTGTTCTGGTGCAGATGTTCGTGCTGGAGTAGCTGGCTGCTTCAGTTTGGTGGTCTGCCGTGGGATCGTTCGTTGTTCAGCTGCAGCGGTTTGCGCTGGAGCAGCTGGTTGCTCTGGTTCTTGTGTCTCCGGGTATGGTCCTTGTTCAGATGCAGACGTCTGTTCTGGAGTAACTGGCTGCTCGGGTTCAATTGTATTTGGGGATGTTACTAGTTGTTCTGTTGCAGAGCTTTCTGGTAGAGTGGCTGACTTCTCTGGTTGGGTCTGCTTCGACGATGTTTGTTGTTCTGGTGTAGATGTTTGTGCTGGAGTAGCTGGCTGCTCCGATTCGATGGTCTCTCGTGTGTTCGTTGGCTGTTCAGGTGCAGCGGTTTGTGCTAGGGTAGCTGACTGCTTCGGTTCGGCTGTCTTTTTGGATGATGTGGGTTGTATAGGTGCAGAGGTTTGCACTGAAGTAGCGGGTTGCTCTGGTTCTTGTGTCTTCGGGGATGGTGGTTGTTCAGATTCAGCCGTGTGTGCTGGAGTAACTGGCTGCTCTGGTTTAATTGTCTTTAGTGATGCTGTCAGTCGTTCTGTTGCAGAGGTTTCTGCTGGGGTATATGGCTCCTCTGTTTGGGTGGGCTTCAGTGATGTTAGTTGTTCTGGTGTAAATGTTTGTGCTGCAGTAGCTGGCTGCTCCGGTTCGATGGTCTCTCGCGTGCTCGTTGGTTGTTCAGGTGCAGCGGTTTGTGCTGGAGTAGCTGACTGCTCCGGTTCGGTGGTCTCCTGGGATAATCTGGGCTGTATACGTGCAGATGTTTGCGCCGGAATAGCTGGTTGCTCTGGTTCTTGTGTCTCCTGCGATGTTGGTTGTTCAGATGCAGCCGTGTGTGCTGGAGTAACTGGCTGCTCTGGTTGAATTGTCTTTGGTGATGCTATCAGTTGTTCTGTTGCAGAGGTTTCTGCTGGGGTATATGGCTGCTCTGTTTGGGTGGGCTTCAGTGATGTTAGTTGTTCTGGAGCAGATGTTTGCGCTGGAGTAGCCGGCCGCTCCAGTTTGGTGGTCTCTCGTGTGCTCGTTGGTTGTTCAGGTGCAGCGGTTTGTGCTGGAGTAGCTGACTGCTCCGGTTCGGTGGTCTCCTGGGATAATCTGGGCTGTATACGTGGAGAGGTTTGCGCTGGAATAGCTGGTTGCTCTGGTTCTCGTGTCTCCTGCGATGTTGGTTGTTCAGATGCAGCCGTGTGTGCTGGAGTAACTGGCTGCTCTGGTTGAATTGTCTTTGGTGATGTTATTAATTGTTTCGTTACACGAGTTTCTGCTGGGGTAGCTGGCTGCTCTGGTTGGGTGGGCTTCGGCGATGTTAGTTGTTCTTGTGCAGACGCTTGTGCTGGAATCGCTGGCGGCTGCGGTTCAGTAGTCTCCCGTGGGTTTGTTGGTTTTTCAGGGGCACTGGTTTGTTCTGGAGTAGTTGCCTGCTCCGGTGTGCCGGTCTCCTGAGATGGTTGTTCAGGTGCAGCAGTTTGTGCGGGAGAAACTGCCTGCTCTGGTTGAGTTGTCTCCGGTGTTGTTATTAGTAGTTTTGTTGCAGAGGTTTGTTCTAGGGTAGCTGGCTGCTCTCGTGTGGTGGTCTTCGGTGATGTTAGTTGTTCTGGTGCAAACGTTTGTGCTGGAGTAGCTGACCGCTCTGGTGCGGTGGTCTCCCGTACTCTCGTTGGTAGTTCAGGTGCAGCGGTTTGTGCTGGACTGGCTGACTGCACCGGTTCGGTGGTCTCCTGCGATGCTGTTGGTTGTTCAGGTGCAGAGGGTTGTGCTGGTGTGGTTGATTGCTCTGGTTCAGTAGTCTTTCTCAGTGTTGATGGTTGTTTTGATACATAGGTTTGTGCTGTTGTAGCTAGCTGCTCCTGTTCGGTGGTCTTCGGGGATGTTTGTTGTTCTGGTTCAGGTCTTTGTGCTGGAGTAGCTGGCTGCCCTGCTTCAGTTGTCTCCTGTGGTGTTGCTGGTTGTTCAGGTGCAGCAGTTTGTGCGGGAGAAGCTGTCTGCTCTGGCTGAGTGGTATTCTGCGATGTTGCTAGTTGTTCAGGTGTGGATGTGTGTGCCGGAGTAGCTGACTCCTCCGGTTGTTCTGTCTCCGGTGATGGTTGTTCAGGTGCAGCGGTTTGTGTTGGAGTAGCTGGCTGCTCTGTTTCAGTGGCCTTCGGTGTAGTTATTAGTAGTTGTATTGCAGAGGTCTGAGCTGGGGTAGCTGGCCGCTCTAGTTCGGTGGTCTCCTGTAGTCTCGTTGGTTGTTCAGGTGCTGCGGTTTGTGCTTTAGTAGCTGCCTGCACCGGTTCGGCGGTCTCCTGGGATGATATTGGTTGTTCAGGTGCGGAAGGCTGTGCTGGAGTAGTTGATTGTTCTGGTTCAGCGGTCTTTTGCAATGTTGATGGTTGTTCTGTTACATAGGTTTGTGCTGTTGTAGCTGGCTGTTCCTGTTCCGTGGTCTTCGGTGATGTTTGTTGTTCTGGTTCAGGTGTTTGTGCTGGAGTAGTTGGCTGCTCTGGTTCATTTGTCTCCTGTGGTGTTGTTGGTTGTTCAGGTGCAGCAGTATGTGCGGGAGAAGCTGTCTGCTCTAATTCAGTGGTCTTCTGTGATGTTGCTAGTTGTTCAAGTGTGGATGGGTGTGCCGGAGTAGCTGGCTCCTCTGGTAGTTTTGTCTCCGGTGATGTTGGGTGTTCAGGTGCAGCGGTGTGTGCTGGAGTGGCTGGCTGCTCTGTTTCAGTGGCCTTCGGTGTTGTTATTAGTAGTTGTGTTGCAAAGGTTTGTGCTGGGGTAGCTGGCTGCTCTGGTTCGGTGGTCTTCAGTGATGTTAGTTGTTCATGTGCAGATGTTTCTGCTGGAGTAGCTGGCCGCTCTGGTTCGGTAGTCTCCGGTAGACTCGTTGGTAGTTCAGGTGCAGGGGTTTGTGCTGGAGTAGCTGACTGCATAGCCTCGGCGGTCTCCTGGAATGTCGTTGGTTGTTGAGGTGCAGGGGGTTGTGCTGGACTAGTTGGTTGTTCTGGTTCAGCGGTCTTTTGCAATGTTGATGGTTGGTTTTTTACATAGGTTTGTGCTGTTGTAGCTGACTGTTCCTGTTCGGTAGTCTTCGGTGATGTTTGCTTTTCTGGTTCAGGTGTTTGTTCTGGAGTAGCTGGCTGCTCTCGTTCAATTGTCTCCTGTGGTGTTGTTGGTTGTTCAGGTGCAGCAGTTTGTGCAGGAGAAACTGTCTGCTCTGGTTCAGTGGTCTTCTGTGATGTTGCTAGTTGTTCAGGTGTGAATGTGTGTGCTGGAGTGGGTGGCTCCTCCAGTAGTTTCGTCTTCGGTGATGTTAGTTGTTCTGGTGCAGATGTTTGTGCTGGAGTAGCTGGCCGTTCTGGTTCGGTGGTCTCCCGTAGTCTCGTTGGTTGTTCAGGTGCAGCGGTTTGTGCTGGAGCAGCTGACTGCAGCGGTTCGGCAGTCTCCTGGGATGTTGTTGGTTGTTCAGGGGTAGAGGGTTGTGCTGGAGTAGTTGGTTTTTCTGGTTCAGCTGTCGTTTGCAATGTTGATGGTTGTACTGTTACATAGGTTTGTGCTGTTGTAGCTGTCTGTTCCTGTTCGGTGGTCTTTGGTGATGTTTGCTGTTCTGGTTCAGGTGTCTGTGCTGGAGTAGCTGGCTGCTGTCTTCCAATTGTCTCCTGTGGTGTTGTTGGTTGTTCAGGTGCAGCAGTTTGTGCGGGAGAAGCTGTCTGCTCTGGTTCAGTGGTCTTCTGCGATGTTGCTAGTTGTTCAGGTGTGGAAGTGTGTGCTAGAGAAGCTGGCTCCTCCGGTAGTTCTGTCTCCAGTGAAGTTGGTTGTTCAGATGCAGCGATTTTTGCTGGGGTAGCGGGCTGCTCTGTTTCAGTGGCCTTCGGTGTTGTTATTAGTAGTTCTGTGGCAGAGGTTTGTGCTGGGGTAGCTGGCTGCTCTCTTTGGGTGGTCTTCAGTGATGTTAGTTGTTCTGGTGCAGATGTTTGTGCTGGAGCAGCTGGCCGCTCTGGTTCGGTGGTCTCCCGTAGCCTCGTTGGTTGTTCAGGTGCAGGGGTTTGTGCTGGAGTAGTTGACTGTACCGGTTCGGCGGTCTTCTGGAATGTTGTTGGTTGTTCAGGTGCAGAGGGTTCTGCTGGAGTAGTTGGTTGTTCTGGATCAGCGGTCTTTAGCAATGTTGACGGTTGTTCTGTTACATAGGTTTGTGCTGTTGTAGCTGGCTGTTCCTGTTCGGTAGTCTTCAATAATGTTTGCTGCTCTGGTTCAGGTGTTTGTGCTGGAGTAGCTAGCTGCTCTCGTTCAGTTGTCTCCCGTGGTGTTGTTGGCTGTTCAGGTGCAGTAGTTTGTGCGGGAGAAGCTGTCTGCTCTAGTACAGTGATCTTCTGTGATGTTGCTAGTTGTTCAGGTGTGGATGTATGTGCTGGAGTAGCTGGCTCCTCCGGTAGTTCAGTCTCCGGTAATGTAGGTTGTTCAGGTGCAGCGGTTCGTGCTGGAGTAGCTGGTTGCTTTGTTTCAGTGGCCTTCGGTGTTGTTATTAGTAGTTCTGTTGCAGAGGTTTGTGCTGGAGTAGTTGGTTGTTCTGGTTCAGCTGTCTCTTGCAATGTTGATGGTTGTTCTGTTACATAGGTTTGTGCTGTTGTAGCCGGCTGTTCCTGTTCGGTGGTCTTCGGTGATGTTTGCTGTTCGGGTTCAGGTGTTTGGGCTGGAGTAGCTGGCTGGTGCCGTTCAATTGTCTCCTGTGGTGTTGTTGGTTGTTCAGGTGCAGCAGTTTGTGCGGGAGAAGCTGTGTGCTCTGGTTCAGTGGTCCTCTGCGAGGTCGGTTGTTGCTCAGGTGTGGATGTGTCTGCTGGAGTAGCTGGCTCCTCCGGTAGTTCAGTCTCCGGTGATGTAGGCTGTTCAGGTGCAGCGGTTCGTGTTGGAGTAGCTGGCTGCTTTGTTTCAGTGGCCTTCGGTGTTGTTATTAGTAGTTCTGTTGCAGAGGTTCGTGCTGGAGTAGTTGTTTGTTCTAGTTCAGCTGTCTCTTGCAATGTTGATGGTTGTTCTGTTACATAGGTTTGTGCTGTTGTAGCTTGCTGTTCCTGTTCGGTGGTCTTCGGTGATGTTTGCTGTCCTGGTTCAGGTGTTTGTGCTGGAGTAGGTGGCTGGTGTCGTTCAATTGTCTCCTGTGGTGTTGTTGGTTGTTCAGGTGCAGCAGTTTGTGCGGGAGAAGCTGTCTGCTGTGGTTCAGCAGTCTTCTGCGATGTTGGTAGTTGTTCAGGTGTGGAAGTGTGTGCTAGAGAAGCTGGCTCCTCCGGTAGTTCTGTCTCCAGTGATGTTGGTTGTTCAGATGCAGCGGTTTTTGCTGGGGTAGCTGGCTGCTCTGTTTCAGTGGCCTTCGGTGTTGTTATTAGTAGTTCTGTGGCAGAGGTTTGTGCTGGGGTAGCTGGCTGCTCTCTTTGGGTGGTCTTCAGTGATGTTAGTTGTTCTGGTGCAGATGTTTGTGCTGGAGCAGCTGGCCGCTCTGGTTCGGTGGTCTCCCGTAGCCTCGTTGGTTGTTCAGAGGCAGGAGTTGGTGCTGGAGTAGTTGGCTGTACCGGTTCGGCGGTCTCCTGGAATGTTGTTGGTTGTTCAGGTGCAGAGGGTTCTGCTGGAGTAGTTGGTTGTTCTGGATCAGCAGACTTTAGCAATGTTGATGGTTGTTCTGTTACATAGGTTTGTGCTGTTGTAGCTGGCTGTTCCTGTTCGGTAGTCTTCAATGATGTTTGCTCCTCTGGTTCAGGTGTTTGTGCTGGAGTAGCCAGCTGCTCTCGTTCAGTTGTCTCTCGTGGTGTTGTTGGCTGTTCAGGTGCAGCAGTTTGTGCGGGAGAAGCTGTCTGCTCTAGTACAGTGGTCTTCTGTGATGTTGCTAGTTGTTCAGGTGTGGATGTATGTGCTGGAGTAGCTGGCTCCTCCGGTAGTTCAGTCTCCGGTGATGTAGGTTGTTCAGGTACAGTGGTTCGTGCTGGAGTAGCTGGCTGCTTTGTTTCAGTGGCCTTCGGTGTTGTTATTAGTAGTTCTGTTGCAGAGGTTTGTGCTGGAGTAGTTGGTTGTTCTGGTTCAGCTGTCTCTTGCAATGTTGATGGTTGTTCTGTTACATAGGTTTGTGCTGTTGTAGCTTGCTGTTCCTGTTCGGTGGTCTTCGGTGATGTTTGCTGTTCGGGTTCAGGTGTTTGTGTTGGAGTAGCTGGCTGGTGTCGTTCAATTGTCTCCTGTGGTGTAGTTGGTTGTTCAGGTGCAGCAGTTTGTGCGGGAGAAGCTGTGTGCTCTGGTTCAGTGGTCCTCTGCGATGTCGGTAGTTGCTCAGGTGTGGATGTGTCTGCTGGAGTAGCTGGCTCCTCCGGTAGTTCAGTCTCCGGTGATGTAAGTTGTTCAGGTGCAGCGGTTCGCGTTGGAGTAGCTGGCTGCTTTGTTTCAGTGGCCTTCGGTGTTGTTATTAGTAGTTCTGTTGCAGAGGTTCGTGCTGGAGTAGTTGGTTGTTCTGGTTCAGCTGTCTCTTGCAATGTTGATGGTTGTTCTGTTACATAGGTTTGTGCTATTGTAGCTTGCTGTTCCTGTTCGGTGGTCTTCGGTGATGTTTGCTGTCCTGGTTCAGGTGTTTGTACTGGAGTAGCTGGCTGGTGTCGTTCAATTGTCTCCTGTGGTGTTGTTGGTTGTTCAGGTGCAGCAGTTTGTGCGGGAGAAGCTGTCTGCTGTGGCTCAGTCGTCTTCTGCGATGTTGGTAGTTGCTCAGGTGTGGATGTGCCTGCTGGAGTAGCTGGCTCCTCCGGTAGTTCAGTCTCCGGTGATGTTGGTTGTTCAGATGCAGAAGTTTGTGCTGGAGCAGCTGGCCGCTCTTGTTCGGTGGTCTCCCGTAGTCTCGTTGTTTGTTCAGGTGCAGGGGTTTGTGCTGGAGTAGTTGACTGCACCGGTTCGGCGGTCTCCTGGGATGTTGTTGCTTGTTCAGGTGTAGAGGGTTCTGCTGGAGTAGTTGGTTGTTCTGGATCAGTGATCTTTAGCGATGTTGATGGTTGTTCTGTTACATAGGTTTGTGCTGTTGTAGCAGGCTGTTCCTGTTCGGTAGTCTTCGGTGATGCTTGCTGTTCTTGTTCAGGTGTTTGTGCTGGAGTAGCTGGCTGCTCTCGTTCAATTATCTCCTGTGGTGTTGTTGGTTGTTCAGGTGTGGAAGTGTGTGATGGAGTAGCTGGCCCCTCCGGTAGTTCAGTCTCCAGTGATGATGGTTGTTCAGGTGCAGCCGTTTGTGCTGGAGTAGCTGGCTGCTTTGTTTCAGTGGCGTTCGGTGTTGTTATTAGTAGTTCTGTTGCAGAGGTTTGTGCTGGGATAGCTGGCTCCTCTCTCGAAGAGGTCTTCGGTGATGTTAGTTGTTCTGGTGCAGATGTTTGTGCTGGAGTAGCTGGCCGCTCTGGTTCGGAGGTCTCCTGTAGGCTCGTTGGTTGTTCAGGTGCAGCGGTTTGTGCTGGCGTAGCTGACTGCACCGATTCGGCGGTCTCCTGGGATGTTGTGGGTTCTTCAGGTACCGAGGTTTGTGCTGGGGTAACTGGCTGCTCTGGTTGCGAGGTCTTCGTTGATGCTAGTTGTTCTGGTGCAGATGTTTGTGCTGGTGTAACTGGCAGCTCCGGCTCGGTTGTCTTTCGTGGCTTTGTTGTTTGTTCAGGGGCAGCGGTTTGTGCTGGAGTAGCCGACTGCTCCGGTTCGGCGGTCTCCTGGGGTACAAAGGTCTGTGCTGGAGTGGTTGGTTGTTCTGGTTCAGTGGTTTTCTGCGATGGTGATGGTTGTTCTGGTACAGAGGTTTGTGCTGTAGTAGGTGGCTGTTCGTGTTCAGTGGCCTTCGGTGATGTTTGTTGTTCTGGTTCAGGTGTTCGTGCTGGAGTAGCTCGCTGCTCTGGTTCAATGGTCTCCTGTGGTGTTTTTGGTTGCTCTGGTGCAGGAGTTTCTGCTGGAGAAGCTGTCTGTTCTGGTTCAGTGGTCTTTGGTGATGTTGCTAGTTGTTCTGGTGCAGTAACTTTTGCTGTAGTAGGTAGCCGCTCCGTTAGTTGTCTCTCCGGTGATGTTGGTTGGTCAGGTGTAGCGGTTTGTGCTGAAGTATTTGCTTGTTGTTGTGCAGTGGTCTTCGGTGATGTTATGTGCTGTGCTGTTGCAGTCGTTTCTGTTGTAATAGCTGGATGCTCTGGTTCAGTGATCTTGGTTTGTGTTGTTAGCTGTTCAGGTAAAGTGGATTGTGCTGGAGTAGCAGGATGCTCTGATTCAGCGGCCTTTGGTGATGTTATTAGTTGTTCTGTTGCTGAGGTTTGTGGTGAAGTAGCTGACCGCTCTGGTTGGGTGGCCTTTAGTGATGTTAGTTGCTCTGGTGTAGATGTTGGTGCTATAGTAGCGGGCTGCTTCGGTCGGGTGCTCTCCGGAGATGTTAGTTCTCCTGGTAGAGGTGTTTGTGCTGGAGTAGTTGACTGCTTTGGTTCAGCTGTCTTCGATGGTGCTATTGGTTGTTCGGGTGCATCGGTTTGTGCTGGAGTAGCTGGCTGCACTTGTTCAGTGGTCTTCGGTGATGTTATTAATTCAGTTGCAAAGGTTTGTTCTGGAGTAGCTGGCTGCGTAGGTTTTCCTTTTTGTGGTGATGCTGTTGCTTCTTTTGGTGCAAAGGTTTGGGCTGGGGTGGCTGAGAGCTCCGGTTCAGTGGTCTTTTGGGGTGTTGTTCTTTCTGCCGGTGTAGAACTCTGAGCGGGAGTAGCTGGCTGCTCTGGTTCAGTGGCGTCCTCCACTGTTGTTGGTTGTTGAGATGCAGCAGTTTGTGCTGGAGATGTTGGTTGCTCTAGTTCGGTGGTCTTCGGTTGAGTTGTTAGTTTTTCAGGTGCAGCGGTTAGCAATGGAGTACCTGGTTGATCTGATTTAGGGCTCTTCTCTGGTGTTGTTCCTTGTTCAGGTGAAGCAGTTTGTGCTGGAGTAGTTGGCTGCTCTGGTTCAACGACTTTCTGTGATGTTGTTTGTTCAGGTGAAGTAGGTTTTCCAGGAGTAGCTGGCTGCTCTGATTCAGTAGTCTGATGTTTTGTTGTTGTTTGGACTGCTGCAGTTGTTTCCTGCTGTGTCGGTGGTGGCTCTGGCAGGGATGTTGGTTCTAAAGAAGGTGGTCGTACGGGAGCTGGGGTCTGCTCTGATGTGACTTTTGTCTTGTGTGGATTTGGTGTTGGCTGCGTTTCAGGAGTATATGTTTGTGAGGGAGAAGCAGTAGTTTGCGGCTGCGGGTTTTGCGTGTGTGGTTCCTCTGGAACTTTAGTAGGTGTTGGGGAATGCGGCGGCTTAGGGTAAGATGTGGCCTCAGAGGTTGGAATTATCTTTGAAGCAGATGTTGGTTCTTCGGTTGGAGCAGGCAGGGGAATCTCGAAGCAATCTGCTCTGTACGGCCAGTCACAGACGTTATCCTTTGCGTTGAACTGTAGACCATGTGGGCAGATCATCAGCAGGGGCGTTCCCTGTGGGAAGTACTCATGAGGAAGCAGGCCAGCTAGATATACTCATTTTACTGGAAACGTAAACAGATCTGTATGGCATCGCGACGTAGTTTGTTTTGGTGAAACAATGTACTGCAAATGAATTTCATAGAAAGTGGAAAATAGCTTGTATTTTTTATACTTGTTCATAAGACCACATAATAATGCCATATAACATAAAACACATACCCCGAAACTTAAAAGAACTGGTCCATGCTACGCGTATGAAAAAAAAAAAAAAAAAATCAGTGTTGTTCACGGACCTAGTGATGATGTCAAGATAGTTTTTTGTATGTACCAAATAGGGTATATAAAACATAAATTAAGGTATTACTTTGTTAGGAAAGCCTCCATTACAACTTTTAGAGGGCTTCTTGAAAATCATGCCATCGTGTTGTCTCCATGAAGGTGCGTCTAAGGTTTTCTGCCTTTCAGGAAAGCTCACGACACCTATTACAGTCCACTGACTAAGGGCGCCAACATCGTAGTTTGCCAGCGTGTATTCACCTGAGGCTTCTTGTTTTAAAATCTCCCGCTTTCTAAACTTTGGAAAAACTATACACACAAAGGCTAATCTGATGAAGACGACAGGATGATATGTTTTTCAATACGCTCTACATTCATTCTATTAGAAGGTTCGTGCCCAAATTAATGTTTAAAATGCGAGCTAAAGCCTATAATAAATAGCCAGTGTGGCATATCATAAAATTATCTCTACCTGGTCAATACGACCGTGAAGAATACTGTGTATTTCGATTAGCGTAATGTGCACCAGCTTTTTTGAAGTCTTGTCATTAGTTTGTTGAAACAACCTGTACGCTTATAATCAACCGTGTCTGTTTAAGATAATATTTCTTGCTGCTAAATAAACATCGGTTAAAACAAAGTCCTTGATTGCGCTTTTACACCTTTTGTATACTAATGTATCGCAACGATTAAACAAAATAATTTTTAATTCGAGAGCTCTTCCAGCGTTTTTTTTCTGCTTTAAAAAAACTCAAAATTTAGTCCAACTTTAGTAGAGTTCATACTGTGGAATTAAAACGATAACATTACTTGTAGTCCAATACCGTTGTAGGCCTAGATGTTTCTTACAGGAATAATTCGAACATCGGCTTGCGTCAGTAGACTCTTTGCTAATTCTCCCCAGCACTCCGGCCGGCACTCAAGGAATCACGGAACGGTAGTCCTTCAGCTCCAGAGTGACCGGCAATTTCAACCAATTCGATGGCTATACAGTTTTGGCTATAATTCGATGGCTATACAGTTTTGGCTATAATTGTTGCGGGTGATAGTTCGAAAAAACAAAATTTCCGCTTAAAAAAAAGAGTAAATTTGAATGTTCAGATTTTTTGTATTAAATGAGCTAATGGGGAGATGTAGTAGATTGGTTCTTTAACTCGTCGACACTGCTCAATAAATGTGACGCCTTTGCGTAGTCAGTGTGATGTTAACAGGATGATGGTGATGATTAAGTCTTCAAAGGCGCAACGACAACGATGGTTATATTGCGCAAATTTAAAGTTATTTACAATAAAAAACTAAGCTTCAAGAAAGCTCGATAAAAAATACAACTGGCATAAATACCTAGTCTCTGTCAGAAAAACAAAACAAAACACGACCAAACGGCACCAGAGGACGGTCACCAACTTAAAACAGGATGAAAGGGAGGAAGACGCCTAAGAACCTTAGGAAAGCTAGATGGGCGTATTGGGTTGCATTTTTATTGGGTGTCATTATCGGAGCCCAAAGGCAATCTACAAAAACACCTTCAAACAATTCAATTTTACACGATGGTTATCTTCCCAGACTTACATCCATTTTTTTTCTTTTTGCTCGAAGTTTCAAATGCTCGCCTGTAATTCATCTCTGACTGTTTTGTGTATCATGACCTTGGGCTGTTCTTTGTCATGTAATTTTTGAGAAGGAACGCGCGTGCCATGTTACTTTAACATTCTCGTCTTTAATCTGCGTTTCTTTTAACAAGGGCTGGTGACAGAACTTGGGATTCCAGTGGGACAACGCGATTCTGGCGTTTTCACAGCAGAGGCTGTGAAAACGACAGAATCCTGGTCTGCTATAGGTTCTCTACAAGCGTTCAGTCCAGCGATACTTTGATATCGATAGATTGGGACGCTGCGACGCCAGCGGGTCCTCTTCTGCTTTTTTTTCTTCGCCTGCGCTTTAACATCTAATAATACATGGTGATATTTGTGGCGTAGTTGCCGCTTGGAGGGCGCTCATTGCACGGGTAGCATTGAGCGTACGAGTTAGAGAGGGGTTCAAGGTATTCTAGTTTTGGATTGGCGTCCATTAAAGATATGCGCCGGTCTGAAATGTTGTTCGAGGTAAAGGCTGTTTATGTGGCGGTTCGAAGCACTGGTTGGCTAGGGGCACTTTATTTTAAGAGAGAAGATAGAACGAAGGTTTCTATACTTCCCTATTCTAAGCTATATGGGCCTGTCTAAAGTAAAACTAGCACATCCGCCTAATACTGTATTGTCGAATGGGTGTTTTATGTTTGGGTGTTTTATGTTGCTGAGGACTGCAGATTAATGTACATCGCATTAAAATCAAGGCACAGCTTGTGTCTGAATGCAGTCTTATATATGTATAGGAGAATGAAACGGTCCTTCTGACCAGATACTGTACTATCACTCCTTAATAGACAGATCTAGAATGTAATGTGCACATTGCTAAAAGGTTTAGAGCACCTCAATATGGCAAAACTAGGGACATCACAGAGCATACGAATTCAAAACTAATAAAGTTAGGTATGAGGCGACATTAGTAGATTTTTTTAAGAATGCCACATTGTGGCCGCTTGTTACCACAGTCGCGCAGTGATTTTGCAGCTTCCCAGAGAAAGCACGCTTTCGAAGGGGTCTATATCCGGCTCTGGATCGTTATATTGCGATGATTTGATATTATGCGCGACGTACGTTGTTTTCGGTCTGCATAAGCTTTGTCAAAATGTCAAAAAAAGATTGTTTATTCATACCTGCACGCAGACGTAGTAAGTGGAACAGTTGTACGGGTTGGGTAGATATGTGGTGGTCGCATCGTGGTGGTCCACGCGGGGACATCCCGGCGGAGGCTCCTGAGACTGGCACTGCTGGAGCAGTGTCACACAGGTAATAGCCAGGACGAAAGTCACAACTTTCATTCTCCTAAAAGGTGCATAAAAGAAGGTACATAAAGAAAAAAAGGAAACAATTAGTCGAACAACAGTTGATTCAGACCATTGTATGAAACAGCGCTTGCCTTTTACGTCAAGCAATATAATGCTTCACACTAATGTGTGAAATTTGAAGTGCCTCGCACTTCACACAAAGTACAAGACAGTTTAGGGTACTGGTGGGGAAGAATGTGAAGAGGGAAAGGTGCCACGGCAGGGGTCCGTTGGTTATTCGTATTTTGTTTCTCTTTCCCTGACTAGACCTAGTTTTTTTTTCTTAAATTGTGATTACCCGATACGAAGGGGTAAGCCGCCTCAATTTGATCCATTCCTATCTGCTTTGTGTCAGCTAAGAACAGGGAAACCACTTTTGGAAGTGTGTTTATAAGTGCAGTGAGGAGGTGGTGCTTAGGGAAAGAGGGTTACGCTCTGCAGGTTCAATTGAGAGCGATCTTGCGTATGCTGCAAGAATGGAGGTGTATATTATTCGAAAAATGAAAGTACTGAAACGAAGTCATTCTATAGTAAAGTTGAGAGTTGAGCTAGTTTCTAAGATGACATCATATTAAAACAGAGCGCAGATCAACTGCGCTGAGGAAGAGAAAATAGAACACAGAGCACTGACTATCAACTGATCTATTCTGAAAGAAAGAGGAAGATGAGGCATCGGAAATAAAACGCGCACCAGAAAAAAGAAATAAACCAGTTATACCTGAACCAGTTGTGCTATTTCTAGTTCAATCTAGTTGTGCTAGAAAGGGAAGAGGACGATGAAAAAAGGCCACAAACAAAACACATTTATATTTATGAACAAAAAAAAAGAAGGACAGAGAAGAATGAAAAAGGAAAATAAGATGAATCAAATACTAGGCCGCACAAATAGATCGTTGTAAGCGTTGGCGAGGAAGGCTACTTCCTTAATGAGTGATAAGGAAGTAGCCTTCCTAGCCAACGAATACAATTGATTTTGGCCGGCCTAGTAGTATTTAGCTCTTTTCATTATCCTTTTATCTTTCCTTTTCTTTTGACTTTCTTTTTCTTGAACTTTATTGTGCTCAGTAGAGCCTCTAATTAAGCTACGCCTATAGTATCGGCACTCTGTTCCCAGATATTATTGTGCGCGCCGCCATCTTGGTGCTTGTGCAGAACAGACGCAGCTATCGATCGTCATGATTCAAATGTGAGACTTCCTCAGCATTAGATTTGGTGCAAGGATGCTCATCTAATGTTGCTTTGATTTGATCTTAAGCATTCATGAAGGACGGAAATGAGTTTTGTTGTTAGTTCAGATAAAGCTTCAGACCACTGCTAACCATTCAGTTAAGCCACAAGGTGGGTAAGTGTCGTTACTCTGAAGCTTAGCTTATTTGGCGGCACTAGTCTTTGTGTTTTGCTTTTTCTTCCTCTTCCGTTTCTAACATACTTCATTCATGTATCACAGGTTTCCCTTTTTTCTGATGTGTGTGTTTCAATTCTGGTGCTTCGTTTTTCTGTTTCTTTCACAATATATCAGTCGAGAGTCAATGCTCTGTGTTCTCTTCTCTTCCTCATTGCTTGCACGTTGACTTTTAATATGATGACGTCATTTGAGTCGAACTTCATGGAGTTTGTTAAAAAAACGGGGACGCAGAATTAAAATCATAATGAGCAATTGCTTATTGAGTGGAATTCAATGTGATCTTCAAATAACACAAAACAAATGATATATAACAAAAATCTGTCAAGCGTGTTTTTTTACTGCGGCTTTTCCCCTAAAATGGCGTTTCTTATGGCTCTTTGCATACGTCTGTCTGACCATCCTCGGCATGGAATGTCGGGTGAGACGGTACGCCCTTTTCTTAATTGTGTTTAGAGTAAGGCGTAGCATTAAATTGTCTGATTTGTTGCTTAATAAAGCTTTAATATATTCAAAAAAATTTTACGGTGTCGGAAACCAAGTTGATCTCTGCATTTATTTTTCGGGCTCAGTGAATGTGGTCGCTTCACGGCAATAAAGAAATAAACGAATAGACGGAACATTAATTTAAAGCAATGAGAGATTAATATTTTCAGTGTAATAAATACTGACGCGAGAGTTCTTGTTCTCTGACTGTGAAAAAAGTAAGAAGTTGATTCAATAGTTTGTATGACTGACTATCAGGGGTGGCCAAGCTGCGGCTCGCGAGCCGCATGCGGCTTTTCGGTTGTTAAAGTGCGGCTCGCGGCTCCCTAGAGCCGCGAGCCGCACTTCTGGGAGCCATAGAAATGGCTCCAAGAACGATCTCCGAGGGACTCCTGATGATACGGGTAAAGGATGAGATAAGCTTTCATTATTTCACCTCTGACATCAATTTAATAGAAACGCCTCGATCCACTTCACGACGTTATGACATAAGCATATATTTGGTTTACATACTTACTTTTTTAGGGATATACAGTCAAAAAATGCATTCAAAAAATTGATTAATTTGACATTAATGTATTGTTTTGTTGTCTACCGGTTAGGAAAAATTATGAAACAATTCAACAAGTTGCGTTTGCCGCTCAATCTGGCTGATTTTTCTTACAAAACTGCGAAGATTGGCGCAAAAGCTCTCGCTGGTGTGGGGCAGGTTCTTGTGTAGAGCATTCCATATGACAACGGGCGGAGGGGATAGCAGTTCTCTCTCGCTCTTCATTGGCGAAGGACTTTTACCAGCTCCGCCTCGGGGTCGCTGCGTCAACCAAGGCTCAAGCAGCGACGACGGAAGAGTAATAACCCCGTGTACGACTATGTTCAATAAGTTGCTACAGCGGCAAGCAAAGATGCCCGAGATCGTAGGGTACATAGATGTTATATACCAATATACTACATGTCATAATACTTACTTGGCGCATATCATAAAGTAAATTTATATGAAGGTTGTTTCACAGCCTATTTTATTTTTTTAAACAGGTAGCGTATTTGCAAGTGAACAAAAATAGACGAGAAAAAGAAAAATAGAGATATAGAAGGCTTGGGTAAGGGGAAATCCTAATGTGGGTGTCATAGCCAAAAGTCAAAAAGCTGTCGATAACCGTCTGGCCCTTGGCCAGATTAATGCATAGATGAATGGATGGATGCTAATGGCTATACCCTTTGTAACGGGCGGTAGCTTTTGCTACATAACCTAAGGTTAAAAAGACAAACATATGATTCCACCTTCCCTTCTAAGCCAATTTTCTCCCCCTAATTATCACCAGGCAGTGTGGGATATCCCCAAAATTATCTTTAAAAGATAGAGCAAAAAAAATAAATATAAAAACATTATTTTTCGCTTTTTTCTTCGGCAAGATAGTCGCCAATTTTCCTGTGCTGAAACCCTGTCGGCGTTACCCCAGCACCGGACCCACCGCGGGACAGGGCTAAGACTTTGCGCCGGAGCCACACGGGAGGGAGTGCCAATTATTTTCTGTCCCGCCTGTCCCTAGCTGTGCTAGTTAGTTGTGCATTAGTCAATTTTCCCTAGATAATTTCTACGAATCTTCTAATCGCCTCTTTGTGGCTATAATACTTTTCTCTTCCGTCCTTCCATCTTCTCCAGCTAAACCCAGGGCCCCGGCCAAATCTGTTACCATTTTAGGGAAGTCAGGGCGCAGCCCCGTGCACTTCAAAACCAAGTGTTCTAGTGTCTCGCTCTCATTATGGCAGGCAGCACATAATGTGTCTGTGTCCTGAAACTTAGCCCTATACGTCCTCCTCCTCAAAACTCCCGTTCTAGCATCAAACAGTAAATAACTTTCCAGTGAATTGTAAAACAGTTTCTTTTCTTATGTCCCGTTTTTGTGTGCTGAACATTGTTAGAGCTAACTTTTCAGCATTCGATCGTACCTGCCATACTTTTTTTTTGTGCCTCTTTCACTCCATTTTCCATTGAAGTAATCTGCTCAGCCCCCAGACTAGTGTGTAGGTATTTAAATGTCAGCTTTCAGGTTCGGCTTGTTCATTGTGTGCTTAAAATTTTAATGTATAAATACTTGAATACCTTCCGTGCCCACCCCACCCCGCATCATCCGATTCGGTAAACCATTGTTTAAATTTCAACTAATTGTCTCCCTTCTCTCAAAAAACGACCAGCCAATATTTTCTTCCCCTGTACTTCCTCATTTGGTGTCTTTCCACGTGCTCCCAGTGCCAATCTGGCTACGCTTCTTTGTCGAATTTTTAATTCTGATTGAACCTCTGATTTTATGCACAGAACCCCAGTGGTGGATCCAAGGGGGGGGGGGGGGTGACGGGGGCGGCCGCCCCCTAAACAAAGTTAACCCCCCCCCCCCCACTTCTCGGAGGGCAATTTGACATGGGTGGACCCTCTTACACAAGAAAGAATGAGAGATAGTATTCTTAAAAATATTCGCCCCCCCCCCCCCCCCTAACGGAGCTCTGGATCCGCCCCACCCCATCGCCAAAAGACAGTCCTGGCACCATCACTCTTTTTTACAGACTTGTGACCACTTCATATTTATTATAGTTTCATAGTGCCTCGAGCTTCATAATAGATTATATATTTTCCCTTTTATAATTATATTCTCCTCATGTTCCTCTAGATATTTCCTTCCCTCAATGAGCCAGACTCCCAGGTATTTGTATTTTTCTACAGGGTCTATTTTCATGTCCTGTGACCTCAGGGGTTTCTTTTCGTCGTTAATCACGATTACTCTAGACTCGTCACTAGTAAAACAGATGCCCAAGGTGTCTCCTTCCTGTCCACATATTCCAACTTGTTCCTGTAACGTATCCTGGGTATCTGCCATAAGTACTATATCGTCCGCATGCATCAGTCCTGGTATTACCTGTACTACATTTCTCCCTTCTTCCATATAACTCACATCAAAATTTAAGTTGCTCTGCTCTAATTTTTTTTATGCATTTCACTGAGATATATCATGAAAAGCAGAGGTGACGGTGGACAGCCCTGCCTCAGTTCTTTCTTTTGCTGCGGGTTTTGTAGTTTCTCCTTCTCCAGTTATGACTACCTTATTGTTTGCGT